AATATGGTGGTTCTTCTGGTGCTGGCATGCATCTTTCATTGTTAGATGTCTCTCCATCAGGAGTAACATCCTCACCAAGACGAAGAGGACTCGGGGATTCTGAATGTGTATCATCATCTTTGCTTTTAGTACGACGCGGTATACCTCTTGCATATCCAAGACTAAATAAAAGAGAGACAGAAAAAATAAATATTTGCATATTATATGCAAAATAGTTTCATGTAAAAAGTTATATTTATGGATATTAATCTAAAAAGAAAAAAGAAAGAAAAAATACAAACCCTTTCCCCCTAGTAGTCCCTCTTCCGAAAGGTCTACGAGTACCTCCACCACGTGTAATTCCAGGTGGACGTTCTTTTCTAGGTCTGCCTGGACCTCGCCTAATATTCAGAGGTTTACCTCCAGGGAGTGGAAATTTCTGGTACCTTAAAGGATCATGAAAAGCTTCATCTGGGGTTACTGCAAGAGAAACAAACTTTTGTGCTTCCTCTGAAATGATATATAATTTTTACAATGACATTACATATTGAAATGTGACATGATGTAAACCATTGGTAGCATAAATTTATTAAAATGTAATGAAAGCATATACTCACTGTTACCAGGAGTTGTTGGTGCAGGGCCAAGTAAATGATCTGAATTTGCTGGTGATACAGGAATTCCTGTTGCTTCTTCATCTTCATCTTCGCCATCAGAGGCTTCATCTAGTTCCATTTCTTCATCGCCCTCAAGACGCTCTTCATCATCCATGGCACCTCTACTAGACCTGCGTTGCTATGTAGTCCTGTATCAATAAATCATAAATCAAAAGCTAATTATTCATATTTTAAATGTATATGTATGTTACAATGACATTAGACAAAGAATATTATAACAACAAAGAATTATATCAATGATAGAAATGATAACAATGTTTTCTTCAAAGTCTTTAAATTTGTTATATGTGTTGATCTATTGAATATATTCATAGTTATTATAACAATTGTATTATAGATAAATTACATATATATATATATATATATATATATATATATATATATATATATAT